AGAATTAGGAATGATTAGGCTTGGGTGGAGTGAGATGCTTTCGTTCCATCTCTTGCACGCAGTCTTAAGACGTATGTGCCGACTACTAGTTGGGCAAGTGGTCATGGCACACGATTTTTACACTACTCTTTGAGTATTTCTGAGTACAATTGGCAGCCATGTCCGTCTGTGGTGATGTTCCTGCACAGGAACTATGCAAGAAGAGGGTAGAATTGTGGTGGTGCACAAGAATGTGTGTTGGATTGTGAAAAGGATGTGGGGCATTCCGATTACATGGATATATTTGCACGCCACCAACCCACCAACAGGGCACATCCGCATTGCCTCAACCCTCCATTGACGCCTTCCAGTGGGAGCGCCGAAAGCACTGAAATCACACAACCCAGCACAAAGCCTACTTTCCTCTCTTCACACCGTTGACACAAACACGGTAATCATCGCAATCGCCACAACCACCCCTACACGCATCCCTACATCCCGTCCCCGTCCCCTCCTTATACCTACACCCAGGTTACCGCCAACACCAATTTTGGCACCTGGCCACATTTGCGGCTTTAGCGGCAACATGCTGACATAAAGTCCTGGATTAAACTTCGACACATGCGCACTTTACAGATCATAACTTATTCAGTCTCATATGTTGTTCATTATAATTTCACCTTAACTACTGTTAAAAGAAGACGTATATTTCTTAGTAAATTGATCTGTGTGTTGTAGCTATATCGACTCAGCGAACAAAGATCCAGTAGCTGTTTCGCATTTATTAGACACAAATGGCGTTTGGATATCCCTTCTTACCCATATTGTATATTAGGCGAGTAATAACAGACCTTAATGGGGCTGTAAGCAGTCCACAACCATAGGTGACAAGCTGGATATTATGAAGGTGTACATAATTGGCTGAATTTACCGGATTGATAATAAGGAGAAAAGCTTGCATCGCACTAGCGCTTCCACTGGTAATTTTGTCAGTTTCGTGTGGCATCAACTGGTGTTGTCCATATACCGAGCTAGTAGAGAGCTTTGCAAGCCGTAGGCACTCGCTCCGTTTCATCCCATTCCAGATAATCCCCTCTCTCAACCTCCTTTTCACTCACCGTTGGATTACAGCTGGGTGGAAGAAAGAGTGGAA